ATGATTCCGTGAGAGAAAGCCTCGATTACTTCTCGTTCGGTGATGTCATGTACTTGAGCACGTAGTTCACCAAATCATCGATAGTAATTTCTGAGACTTTTGCCCCCTTTCTACTTGAGTCCTTTTAATTCTGCGTGGGTGATGGGGTGCGTAATGATACCCGCAAAATTTTCACAGAAAACTCTTTGCAAGTCCTCCCAATTTCTGATTGACCCTGGATTCAATTTGTCGAACCATTGGAGGGGCATGGTTTCTTGGGCTATGGGAAAGAACAAGGTCTTGACATCGTCGTCTCCTCCGGCTAGTTCAATCGATTGTGAATAAATCCTGAGCCACTGCCTTGGTTCGGTCTTGCCATCATATTTAGAGTGGTTGGACGGCTTGAACTTGTGAGGTAGTCGTATTGAAGCAAGTCTGTTTGCAAAACAGGGGAATCTATCATGCGTTCCGGCTTTTTTGTATTCTGATTCAGCACCTCCTTCCAACCAACTGTTGTTTTGGTGAGAGTAGTTATGCGAGGCTGTCTGAATGGGTTCTTTGCTTCTGACATTTCTTGGTTGTTCGACTCGGTAGTTTTGACTATGGTCCCTTCTGCTTTCTCTATTGTGACTTCCACTTGGTCCAAGTTTCTCGAAAGCGGACTTCCTTTGGTTTTGATCTTCCTTCTTATAAGATGTTGACATGGCAGGTAGTCTTGAGCGGTCCTTCCATCGTGCGTCCTTAGGGCTGCTGACCGGAGAAAGTCCCGAGCTGTTCCTGTTTTTCACTGGGATGCGATGTCGCTCTGAGTTCTTCTAGTGCTTCTCGGATCCTATTGTAGGGTGTATTCACCGCGCGTCTTTCTTCGACTTCTTGTTCTGATTTTCTTCTATTGTACTCGGCCAGATCTGACTCATATCTAATCCAAGCTTCCTTACGCTGCCTAGCACAGCGCTGGCGTCATTGTTTCAATTTGTTTCTTCTTTCTCTGGCTTGCTTCTGATTCTCGGTCTCACCATCGTGTCTCTAGGCAAAGGGTGATATGTTGGACTCAGATTCATCCAATGACCTGATGTCGGGTGCTTCTGGGGGGACCAATGGTGATCGAGGACGGCGAACCATGAATACTTCTCGTGCGTGAATTGTTCTGTTATCGGCGTCGGTTTCCACACTGTCGTAGTTGTTGATAACTTTAGTGGAGGCTTCAAGGTCATAGATCGAGTCTCCTTCTTGGTAGGGTAGAATTGTTGTTGTCGTCGTGCCGACTAGTCGGGTATCGCTATCCTCAGGAACAGAATCTGGCCAGTGGACGATGCAGTTTTGAGATGTTATAGTTAGTACGAGACCTTCCTGAGCTCCCTTCAGTGGCATTCTAAACACCGGATCGAGGGATCCTTCGGGTCGTGCCTGATAAGATTTTGCCATGTTGTGGAGTCCGAACGGAAAAGGACCCGACTTCTTGAAAGGACTCGAGTGTACTCCGAGTTGTATACTTGATAAGCCGAGGCCAAGGCTCGAGCCCTGCTTGAAAAGAACTCGATTACTTCTCAAGAGAACTCAATGTTTTCCGAGTTGAATCCTTGATAGGCCGAGGCCACGTTCGAACCCCGCTTAGGAAAGAACTTGGTTTCTCGAAAGAACTCGAGTAAGACTCCATCTCGGATCTGAGCACGAGTTTGAGTCGGATGCACAAAGCCACGAATCGAGTTGGATCGGACATCACAAGTTGCGCGAATCTTCCGACGAGTTGATCTATCGTAGTCGCCGAAATAGAAAGGTCTTCATTGTGATCCAAATCTTCGAGGAGACGGCCTTGGAGCTTGCCATCGCCGCCTGTCTCGCAGATCCATGAACCGAAGATGAAGGTTAATCCCGTCGAGAAGATCATGTTGTCAAAGTCCGTCAAGCTCTCGGATGCAAATTCGCCGAAATTCTCTACTACAGGCCCAAATTGCCGATGTTTTACCATCGATAGCACGCCACGGGGTACCGGCGCTTTGTTCGAGATTCAACAGATGCAGAACTCGACGGTTAACGCAAGAGACAGTCGATTTATCCTGGTTCGAGCCCTCGACCGTGATCGAGTAATAGCCCTACGTCCAGTTGGCGTTAGCCTTTGCGTTGGATTGATTGTCAGTGTTGTCTCTAGGAACCCTACCCTCCTTTATATAGTCGAGGCGGCGAGTCCTAGTCGGTTTACAATGAGAGTTCCTAGTAGGATTACGAGATAATACTACTACTAAGATTACACGAAAGAATCCTAGTCAGACTAGATCTTCTCCCTTCCTTGTGGGGTATCCTGTGGGTCCCGCACCAACAATACCATTCCTCGGTTTGGTTTGAGTAGGAAACCGAAGATAAAGCCGAACACCGAACAACTGGAACATAAGAACCGAAACCAAACCGAAGAACCGGTTCTCTTACCGGTTCGGTTCGATTTGTGGTTTTTGGCCGTAATGTGCCTAGCCCGACTGCTCAATAGTTGGTGGGGAGGACCTGCTCAGATTTGTGGGAGAGGAGAACGAAGATCCTATTGATCCACCACGAACTTGATCAGTAGCCAATTTTGTAGATCAATGGTGAAGGAACAATGGTGAACTCGAGGAAGATGGTCATGGGGAACCAACGGAAGAAAATACGTGGATGAGAAGGAGAGAAAAAAATAATTACCTATAGCACCAAATGGGACAAGCCCACCGTTTTGGTGTGTGACACGATAGGCCCATTGATAACAGCAAGTGGGCTGAGAAGTGGCTCGGGCCAAGTTGTCTAATCTGGTTTGGATTACGAATTAGTGCTCACACAAGGTTTGGTTCAGTTAGGTTCTTGTGATCACATTGCCAACCAAGTTAGGGCCTATTTGGAACGCGAAAATAAAAACGGATGAATGGAGGAAACTGCAGGAATTGAATAGAGTCAAAAGTGAAAAACTACAGGATTCGAAAACATAGGAATGAAAAACTTAGGCTTGTTTGGAACATAGGAACAAAAATACAGGAATGAGAATGGTAGGACGAAGATAAAACCATTAGTAACTAGATTAGTACTAATTGCACTAAAACTGAATCAATAGTCTCATGGCACCTTTTAATGACTCATTGAATGTCTAAATTAACTTATCCATGCCTGGACATGACTCTTTCCAAAGTAGGTAACCTTGGCCGCAGGCATCAATTAGCTAGTTGGCCTATTATTAACGCACTAAGCAAGCCGTAGGAATTTTTCCCTTTAGCGCAGACCTCATGTTTTCTTTCCTGCATTTCATACAGGAAAGCTCACCATTCCTTAGGAAAGGAAATCGTCAATTGTCAAATCCAAATAGCAAGACTTGAAAATACTACACAGGAACATATTCCTTTGGAATTCCTTTGATCCAAACAACCCCTCGGGGCTTAGTTGGTTAGGTTCCTTGTGGTTGGACCTGTCTATCCTGGATTTAAGTCGTTGCAGTTCTGTGTTTGTACTGTGTAACTCGAAAAAAAAAGTGATCACATTTTATAAAACTAGTAACGATTAAAGGCGTAGTAGAGCCCTAGGGCCAGGGCACCAGGTTGCAGTTTTGCACACTCATCTGGATTGGACCATAAACATGGAGCCTTTATTTGGATGTCGAAATTTTTGACGAAATGCTACTGTAGCATTTTCGTTGTTATTTGGCAAATAGTGTTCAATCATAGTCTAATTAGGCTTAAAAGATTCGTCTCGTAGATTTCGTCTAAACTGTGTAATTAGTTTTATTTTTTATTTATATTTAATGCTTCAGGCATACGTCCAAAGATTCGATGTGACAGGAAATCTTAAAAAAATTTGGTATTTTGGAGTGGAACTAAACAGGCCCGGCCATATATGAAAATCTAAGTCGCATGCTCACTCACCGTACCTCGTGAGCGTCGTCTCACTTTGAGTTCAGAGGCACGCACGATACCCCGAAATGAAATACTGAATGTTACCAGATAAATAAATCTGAAAGTCCCGTGCGCATTATTTCTGTATGGAAGGACCAAAGGACGATCAGTTCATGTGCCACGGTGAAGTGTCCGTGGAGCTGAGGAGCCTGCTGCATCTACCCGCACACGAACCGGCCGGAGTAGCTCTCCATCGCTGGTACCCGAACGCATCACACAAGCACAGGGAGGAAGACGGGGAGAGTTAGGAGATCTCTATGGGAGCTAAGAATGCTTCCTAATCATTGGTCGTTCTTTATAACAAGTACTAGCTTTCGATCAACCCATTTGTGGAGTCAACAGTAGCATCATGTAAGACCATCGCATGCCACCTCCCCGGCTTTTGCTGCCCATTTGACATATGGAGAATGCTAGTATTTCAGTATTTGACGAGTTTTTTGTCCTAGCAAAATTTGTGGGAGGTTTCTTCAAAGGCCCTAGCAATGGAAACAATGTGCGTCCATTGTTATCGCGCCAATTTGTGGGAGGTTTCTTCCAAAGGCCTAAGAACAGAAAGGGGAGGAATGTGACCTTTTGACCCATGTCTCGCTCGAGGGGAATGCGGCCTTTTGAGTTTTGACCCATGTCTCTCTTACAATTTTTTCGTCATTTCAACGCCAGCGGTCTAGCGGTCCTGTTTCAGAATCTCAGACCTGGCAGATGAACACTACGATACCGCGCCATTGCAGAACGACCACAAAGCGAGAGGCATTTGGATGGTCGCCAAACATTGAAACGCTTGAAGATTCTGAACAAGCGGGGTAATATAAATTTAGAGAAACAAAATGTGGCCTGTCACAATTTCAACACAAAAGACCTAATTGCGGATAGCCTTAACGATAAGGCACCAGGATCAAATTCGTAGCAGGAAACCGTTACCAAATATATTAGATTTATGTACATGCATTGAAACATAACGCTGTTCACAATGCAACATTTGCAGGCTTCAAGCAGCTGCAAGACTAAGTCACAGATAAGTGCCAGTTTTCTCCATCGACAGTACGATAGGACAAGAGTTAAAACGAGGAAACAGTTTTCATCTAGCAGTCGTCTGAACTACAACGCAAAACACAGCGGTCACCAGCCACTACCACCGCCAGACCCCCAGCCGCTTCCACCATCCTGTGCTGGGACGGCCTTTTTGGCGCTACCCCATCCTGAGTCATTAGAGCCACCAGCAGCTGCTCCCCAGGCTCCATTTCCGCCACCAGCACTGTCAGCACCACTAGCAGCTGATCCCCAGCCGCCTCCACCGCCACGGTTGCTGTCATCGCCAGCTCCACCCCAGCCAGCAGCATCAGATCCTCCACCAGTACCACCACCACCCCGGGAAGAGCCACCACTGCCACCTGTGCCCCATCCGCCTCCCACGCTGCCAATGTTATCGGTCCACCCTCCACTGTTGCCACCACCACCTCCTCCACTCCAACCTCCACCACCATTATCATCATTGCCAAAGTTACCCCGGCCACGCCCCCGTCCTCGTCCACGACCACCAGAGTTATTCCTTGAATCAAACCTCCCTCCTGTTTTAGGAAAACAAGGCGCATAAATTATACTCACATATTTCTAAGGGTCTATTAATGTATCAACAATGTACACAAGTCAGATCACAAGCGTTTCTCAAAAACCAGTGGTAAAATAATGGTTATACCAGAGTACCAGACACAGCTTGACTAGATATTGGCAAAAATCCACCGTGACATGCTGACAATCTAGGAAGCAAAATTATTAACAGAAAACAGAAAGAAATATATTTCGTTCAGACAAAGACAACAAAGAATGGCTAGTTTCTGAAGAACCAGATGAATGTAAACTATTTCAGAAATAGCTTTTAACTCGTACAGTGAAAAAAAGTTGCATGGGAATTCACCACAAGAATGCAAATACTCTCTTCAGCGAACACTAGCAGATCATGAGAACTATAACAATCCAGTGCTTGGTGAAAATATTATAATCTTAATCCACGCAAAGCATTTAAAGATTACCATAGCTAAAAATGCATATAACTTTATCAACATCTTAAGCGCATTAATAACTGACCTGATCTGCCAGAGAAAGGTCTGTCCCTATCATTACTACCATCTCCCCTCCAACCACTGTTTGCATCCCCACCACCACCACCACCAGAACCCCAAGCTGAGTTTTTCATAGGTACCATTGCAGCAACATTTCGCATTGATGGTCCAGCATCAGGTGGTGGTTTGTCAATATTCTTCTGGAAATAGGACACAAGGCGGTCAATGTTGTCAAAGTCTCTCTTCCTGAATCTGAAGCCCTTCGGGTATAATCCAATATACTCGTGATGTGGATTTGTACTCCTAATATATGACAATATAAAGGTGCCAGGATGTTCATGAGAGATGCCAAAACTATACACTATTCTCATAGGGTTCTCTGCTTTCTCTGCCCTTAACATCTCATCAACCTCATTTTTTAAACCCTTTCTGAATTTACGATAAGAGAGCATGCTCTTAAGGTATCCTACCAATGGGTCCACATATCTGTCAATGACCTATATGATAAATGAAAATTAGAGGAAGGCTCAGATAGCACAAAATGAAAGATTACCAATTTAACTAGAGCAAAATCTTGTCACATAAGATGGAATCAGATAACTAAAACTGACAGAACATAACTGAGAAGAGAGCAGGTGTATATATCAGGTGCACCAACCTCATCGAGGTCTTCAAAAGTTTCATTGTCAATTGTTAGTGTTTTCCCTAGGCGAAGCAAACTTGTAATATCTTTGTGATCCTTTCCACTTTCGGTTATCTCCTTGTGTGCATAAACACCATCAAAAATTTTCAGGGTAAGTGTCAAAAAAGATGGTCCCCTCGAACTTGGCCGGATCACCTTCTCACCATGCTCTTTATCTGACAAAAACTGTTTCAAGAGAATTGTTTAGATAAAGACTGGCATACCTACCATAAGAGGAGATGCAAAGTGCACAGATTGAGTTTAACAAGGCAGCAAACCTGCATGGCTTCTTCGGCTGTCAGGTTCTGAAAGTGGGGATGAACAATCATTCGGGGCTTGAAATGCTTCTTTGCAAGTTCCTTTTGTTTCCGAGCCTTATCTTCTACAGTTTGTGAGGTCATGTCTTGTTCGTGATAATAAGGATCCTGATCACCCCTGGAGAATGGCCTTCTCCTCATCTCACTAGCCTTGCACGTTAGGTAAACCATGAACCTATTTTTATTCACGTTTCGAATTTTGCCAGTTAATACATCACCTTCACGTAACTGTGATGATTCTGGATCAAAACCCTCATCAGAATAGTTGTCTGCCATAACTATGGCTTTCAAACCAGAATCAAAGGTGCAAATTATTTTGTTCTCTTGTATATTGCGAACAGTTACTTGAACAATCCTTCCATCAGATATGGTATCCTCAGTTTCACCAGAAAGCATCCAGAATTCCTGTTCCGGGCTTGGCTCAGTATAGGGGCTCCTCCAGTCAGAAAAACCGGACAGCAGCTCTTCCTTTATATCCAACAGAGTTTCCAATTTACGGTATTCTTCTGAAATGCTCTTTATATATTCCTCTATTTCAAGACCTTTCAGCATTTTTGGGTCTGCTCTAACATGCTCAATCGCCATCTCTTGCTCGTCATCATCCATTTCATTTATTTCATGCCCATCCTCAACATAGACATCCTTAGCCAAATTTTTTGCTAATACATATGATTCAGGATGGATCCTTGTATCCTCGAGCAGATCAATGAGTTGAGCACTGGCTGCAGCTGCACCACTCCGCCGAACACGTAAAAACCCAGAAGCATTCATGAAGACTTTCCTTCCTAGAGGTTTGACAAGCTCCTTGCGACTAAAAATGGATCCCTCTCTTACCAGATCTTTCTGCAAAGCAGAAGCTTTGCTCGGACCCAAACCAGCAATAAATTGTAGAGTAGAAAAATGCCACTCATGGCTAGCAGCAAGATTAACGTCAAAACCTATCTGATTCGTTGCATCAACCATTACTTGCTCAACAACTTCATACTTCTCATCAGGAGTCAGAAACTGTTCCAGTGCGTGCAGTTTCCAAGAAAGTATCTCTTTCCCAGGTCCACACAGTGTTGCGATCATCGCCAATGGATTCTGAAGGTAACGTCCCAAGCGCTACAGCTAAGCTTCACAATACCTGTACAGTCAATGAGACATGAAGAGAAAACATCTGTTTGTAAGGTACCGAGCAGAAGAGATAACAGTAAATCACCATATTGCTACGGTACCTGACTGCCCAGGAAGTTGATCCGAAGATATTCGAGAGTTCTCATACAAGCGAGGCACAGACTCGTCACCATAGACAACGCTCAAATTTTCCATTTGGGGGTTAACGTCTCTTGGATGGTCCTCTACAATTTTAAAAATAACCTATCACAAGGATAAATGTCAGCTTAAAATTAAGCGATGACCGATGAGAGCACAAAACTTAAAATAAACTTCCACAGAGTACCATTGCTGTACAGCCATTTAGAAAGCATAAATGAAAGTTTCAACTACTATATACACAGTTACAAACACTGGAAACATGTTCACATTTATAGCAACTGCATCCCTCACAGCAAATGCAAAGCCACATAGCCAAGATACAATCGTGTACATCATGTCATCTGGCAACATTTGTTACATTGTTAACCAAAAAAACTTGGGATGTACAAAATAAACAGTAATCATGTCATCAAATATGCATAACTTTCTACTGATACAATAAGTTAAATAAACAAATATAGGTTGGACTCCCACCATAAAGAAACAAACAAATAACAAAAGTGAAAGATATCAACGAAAGCCAACCTAAAATAAACTTCCAAACTCCAAAGAAGTATGTTCATAGTGACAGGCTAGCAGAAAGCAGAAGCATGGGCACTTAAGTCAACTCAACTCAAGAAACCCAGCAGTCGAGCCCAACATTAATAAATACAGTTTGCCTCCCACCATCACAAAACCAAAACGAACAAATAAAAAGTAAAGTCAGGCATCGCCTAGGCGATGAGGCACGCTGGGATTCTGGCCATCCCAGCCACTACAACCAAAAAATCAGCAAAACAGAGGGAGGGAGGAAGGGAGGGAGAAGATGAGAGGAACAGGAGGGGAGCTCGCCAGCAAGGCCAAGAACTTGCAGCCCTGCCATCCCCGCTGTCTCCCGCGTGGGTGATTAGCACAGAGCTTCCTCCAGTCAGTCGTGGCATGGTCGATCTGGAAGGAGGTGGCAGCAGTGGATCCGAGGGCACAGAGCGGTGAGGAAAGGGAAGGGAAGAGGCAGGGAGAGTTGCGGGATCAAATGTGTTTCTGGAGAACAGAGAGAGGAGAGAAGACGCGGAGAGAGGGCACAGGAGGGACAGAGGGGGAGTGGCAGCTCTGCATGCTGAATCAAGGGAACCACAGGTAGCTCAAGCCACATGAAAGGTATATGGGCTGTGTGGTGAGATGGGCCAACATCTTCCTTAGTCCTTTGCCTCTTCTCCTTCCTTTCTTCTTTTTTCGTTTCCTTTTTCTTCCTGCTCCATACTGCTGTTTTGGAAGTTTCTAATATCGGTTTGTGTCGCCTTGCCTCGCCTTACAAGCACCTAGGCGTTACCTAGGCAATTGGAAGGGGGTGGCTCACCACAGCTCGACTTACCGCCTTAAGAACCTTGGTAAAGTGAAACTTAAGGAACAAAGAAAGCGCCTGAGGCTAAACCAAAACCATGGGCACAATGTCAAGTCAACCCAAGGAACCCATCACTTGAACCCAATACAATACAATTCATAAAGGCTAATGGGTTGCCTGCTGCATGTAAGGAACACGATTGGGGCAGCCTACAATCCGAACTCAGGAAATTAACAACAAAATGAGAATAAAAAAATCTGTGTGCGGTGCTAATCTTATAAGGTGTTCTACAGCATCATAGTGAATTCAGGAGATGACCACAAAAACCAGGTGCAACAATCCTTTGCAAATGCTTATTGTAGAAAATATAATGGAAAGATTGTAGAACAATATGATAGCATTAAGCCTATCAGTCAAGCGACCAATTTAAAGACAAATGTGCAGGTGCAACTATATAATTCTGAAAGAAACATAGCACTTGCTTGGTCTATTTTGACTATGTATTTACACACCAATAAATAAGACAGAAAAATACCTCATAAATATCATCCTTCAGTTGTCTGCAATTGTAGTTTGATGCTCCTACACACACAACATGTGGTTGATGATCAGTCATAAACTTTAAGACTCGTTGCTGGTCATTCTTCTTCCGCTGCTGCTCAGCGACACCTTGAGACCTGTTACTGATAGAACCCGCATACAGAACATCAACCAATTCTCCTGAGGAGTCTAACATAACAAAGGTGGTTGCTGGCTTCCCAGGACCCCAGCAGCAGGCCATAACTCTCAATTCCGATTCATCATCCAAATCAATGTCAGCATCCTTCTTGTCCGCATCTTTCTTCCTCCAAGGAGCAACAGTAACCTTGTTCCACAACTGTTTCCCATATTCCATATGGAGCCAATGTTTGGCTTTTGCCATCAACATTGATCGAGCTTCCTTTTCCATTGATGGAAGAAGGAAATTGAAGAAGGCATCATCCAGTATCATCTTCCGTTGCTCATCCCACAGTTGTGCAGACTTGCTGACACAATCACTTAGATAATTCTCACGTGCTTCAGACATGAGTTTTTTCTTTGCATCTTCTGGCAATTTCACAGTAACCTTGAGGAGCTTTTCTTCCTCTGCTTTCTGAATAAGAAGCCACTGCGCATCTACAAACTTGCTAAGTGGTTTCTCTCTCAACCACTTAACACCCGATAGCTGATGATATGGATCTATGATTGTATTGCCCTCAGGTGTGGGACTTGTTGACACAACTGCTTTATTCATGAAGATGCCTCGAACATGCTTTCTCACAATTGGCTCACAACCTATCTCAACTGCTGCCTGAGAACAAAGAAACAGGGGGGCATGGAATACTGTTGTCTGCTGGAACAAACCTATCAACTAAGTTTAATGTACTACTCCCTCCATTCCAAATTATAAGGCATTTTGGCTTTTCTAGATGCACAGCTTTTGCTATGCGCTTAGATATACACTATGTCTAGATACATAGTAAAATCAATGTATCTAGAAAAGCCAAAACGTCTTATAATTTGGAACGGAGGGGGTACAAAAAAGGGTCAGGATTGTGGGGTCTATTAAATACCATGTGTCTCGCGCCCCGAAGAACATCTTGTGGTGTTTCAAACATTGCACATGTGAAATTTGCAGCAACCTCTTCAGGAGAATGTCTACCGCTCTCAAGCTCGCCTGCTTCCTGTAAGAAACATGCGCATGTGAGGTGTCAATCATGAAATCATTTTCTATACAGAACAACTTTCTATGGCATGAAAATATATGCAAAAAATGGGTAGGTTGCACATGCGGTACTGTTCTCAACTCAAGAAAAAAAAATGTGAAGTGCAAGCTTAGAGCACATACAGGTATCTTAGTTAATGTCAGATGGTGGCCTAATTGCTCAGCACTGCGCCCAAATTGGTTGGCAACCTCCCATAACCCTGCCTTGTGACAGATACTGTACAAGGATTTCCTTTTAGGACGTTTAAATTGGCCCTCTTCTTCTACTTCACCAGGAGGAAAATGTAAATTGAATTTTGCATCAACATCCTCCACCTCTTTCTCAGATTTAGCATCCTTTAGTGCTTCAATGATGGAATTATAAAGTTGGCTATTAAGTTCTTGCCTTGTGACATCATCTATCCTCCGTTTCTCATCATCAAATCTTTTCTCATAATACAACTGCAAAGCAACCTTGCGCTTCTGAAGAAGTAGCCACTTTCTGTCTAAGGTCTGAACTGCCCAGAGCAACTACATAGAACACCAGATTTGTCTTAGCATTGCAAATAGTTGGTAAGTTCAGCAAGAGGAACAAGTACTCAGTGAATAATAACAATAACAACAACAACAATAATAATAATACTAATTAATTACCTTATGCCACTTCATTTTGCGTGCATCAGATTTCTTATCCTCATTATCCTCATCATTACCCTCATCAGAATCGAGGCTTTTTAATAGGGTTGGACAACTCTCTTTTCTGTACATTGCAATGAACGGAATCTGACAGGGAACAAAAACTAAGTCAGACGAGCAAGCATAACATTGAGAAGCAAATTTGCATAATTTTGCATACTTCAAATTTGTTGACATGCAACATGGTCACGACGTTAACAATGTCCTTCTGGTCAAATTTGTTCATGCGCTCATTGCCAAAAAAGGACAGAAATCCATCACCAGTTAGGTGGCTGTGTATCCATAAACTCTCTTCCTCAATCATCGTTTTATTCGTTGGAGGATACCCAGTCAACTCTTCAGACAACTGCCAAAACAGCAACAAATTAGATGTGCATCTTAAACTAAATCATAATGTAGCGTAAAAAAACAAATTAGCTAGTACATACCTGCATCCTCTCAGGGACATCATTTTCTTTTATTTGCTCATCTTTTGTTGTCATATACTTCTCTGCAAGAATAAATGGCTCAAACTCATCTTCAAGCCTCGCCCCTCTTAACTCAACAGAGTTAGCAGCCTCCCTCTCAAGCTCTTGCTTTCTTAGCGCTAGCAGCTCATCAACATCACCAAATATGTCTTGGGCCTCTTGCAGAGCAGATGACGATACACCTGCTGCTTGTCGTGGTACCTTCTTTTTAAATTTCTTCCTCCTAGAAATAAGAAATAGTACACATTATTGGGAGTGAACACAGTCAGATACAACTCCACAGAGCCAAAGACATGGAAGTGGTGTTCAAAAGATAGGAGGACAAAGATCCGCACCTTACAACTTGTCCATTCCCATCGATTTCATCTTCCTCCACAATGAAATCTGCCATTTCATCTTCATCATCACCAACTTCCTCCTCACCCTCCCCTGCCTGCTGATCGTCCTCGAAGTCCTCTTCAAACGGCGCAGTATCTGAAGAAATTGAAGTTGATACAAAAAAAAGTTTCAGCTAGTTCCTGGGATAATTCAAAAAGACACAAGGGAGTTAAATTCTGGTGCTGGTACCTTGATGATCACCAAATAAACTGTACTCCACTCTCTCCTTGCCACTGCGTTTTTTCCCTGTTCCATCATCATCTGAAAAACCAGAGCGCTCATCCATTTCAGATTCCCTTCCAGCCTTTTTCAAGCGCTTAAACTTGTTTCCCTGCAAGAAGACAAAAGGAGCATTCTTCATAAACAGGCCCAAGAAAATTTGGACAGGACAGCATGACTAAAAAAACATACAGGCTTTGGGCGACTGATGCCAGTGATGTTATTATCCTGGAGCAACATATAGTCATCCTCATCAAGCATGAAGTCCTCTGATTCCCTGGGTAATATCTCTTACATTTGAGGACAGTGTACACAATAGATTCACATGTAATTCTAGTAGGAACAAATGCAGGTACCTCTTCTTTTTCTTTTTCTTTCTTCGCCTCTCATCATCACTCTTCTGTTCCTCTTCCTCTCCTTCCACTTCTTCTTCCTCATCGTCCACTATGAAGTCATCCTTCTCAAATTCATCCTGACCATCCTCTGCACATAAACATATTACAGTTGTTACTTCACAAGTGACAAACCCCAGGAGAGATCATAATTTGACACCCAAAAAAAAAGTGAAAATGGAACAATAAAACACTGCAACAGCAAAGCATAAAAAAACTGAATAATTCGAATAATAAGGAAGCAAAACTGCTCCCTGATGGGGAGAAAACTAAACAGCCCACAATAAGGGCGAGCCAGAGCCAACACCATGAAGAAATTGCGAGAAAAAACAGACCGTCATCTTCATCATCGTCATCATCGTCGTGCTCGTCCATATCGTCCCTGCCCCTCCGGGAGGACCGCGGATCCTCCTCGTCGGCCTCAATCTCATCTTCTAGGGTTCCAACAAAGCCACCAATTTCCATCAGCAAATGCACACAAATCACCACGAAAACCGCAGAAATCAGCGAAAAAAACATACCTTCTTCATCGGAGAGCACCGTGCGCCCCATAGTTCTCGAGGGATTTCAACCTAACCGAACCAAGGAAGGATGAATCAGGTTAAGTTCGAGACAGGGTCGGAGCCAGTAAAGGACATGGGTGTACACATGAAAACCCAATCTTTTTTCGCAAAAAGAAAAGAAAAAAGTTTGTAGGCATAATACAGGTATCCTACACTTGTAACTGGATCATCAGATCCGGATACAGATAGCTAGGGTTGATAGCTAGGGTTTGGGTGCTCGGTTTCGCGAAGCAGGAACGGAAGAGAAGGGGTGCGCGTACCTGGTGGGTGCTCGTCACCGGCGAAAGTCCCAAAGATGAAGGCCTGGGCACCTAGCGTAGGGCGGAGGGCCGGAGGCGGAGGCGGAGGCGGTGGCGGCGGCGGCGGCAGCCCAGTCGTCGTCGCCAACAGAGAACGCACGCGAGAGGAACAGGAGAACAGAGAGAGTATGCCGGGGCCCGGGGACACTGGAATGGAGAACAAAAGGCGGGCCGCAAGGAGAAGGTTCCGGCCCACTAAACTACTTCTATCTCTACCTTTCGAATCCCGGGTCCAAGCTCGAGCACCCGACAGTGCCGCATCGCCCGTTAGACCGACAGCCGTTGGATCACGCGAACACGAGATCTGGTCCGTCCGATGTGGATCGGTTTAGGTCGTCTACCCGTTTATTATCATTTACCGGAGCCATCACAAAGCTTCGTGAGCGACGCTCGTCCCCTCTCCCATCCGCCGGACTGCCGCCCCCACCCCTGCTCTCCACTCCACCCTCCGCTTGCAGGGCCACTAGGGCCCTTGGGGCAGCGTTTACTCAGCTTCTGAGCCCAATAAGCAAATAATCCCGCACAAATGCCCTGCGATCTGGGCTTGATCACGAACGCGTTTCCGCGATCTCCAGTCGCCCGCAACGCTACTGAAATCGCGAGCTCGACCTCGCTTTTCCAAAATCGCGACCGCGTTTCTCTCCCGATGCCAATCCTCCCGAGCGCTCTCTCTCTCGACGTTCGCTCTTCTCCGCCGCCGCCGCCTCTCTCCAGCCCGGCCGCGGCCTCCCCATCTAGCATCTCGTCACCTCCCGGTCGCTGCCGCTCCTCCTCCCTCCCGGCTCCTCCACGCTAACGCTGCCGCTCATCCACGCTCACGACGATGGAGACGCTGCGGAGGATGACGACGCGAGCTCCGCCAGATCCCCGACGAGCGGAGGCCACCACGCGAGCTCCGCTAGATCCCCGGCGGCCACATCCGACCGAGCCCCCGTCGGCCACCACGCGAGCTCCTTCCAGAACTCCGGCGGCCACATCCGGACGAGCTCCCGTCGACCACCACTTGGCCCACATGCGGTGGTGGTGATGCGTGCTGTGTTGGCGTGCGGTGGTGGTGGTGCGCGACCACCACGGTCGAGTACATGCGGCTAGGGAGCTGAGCGCAGGGAGCACGCGAGCTCCGACGAGGTCAATCCCCGCCATGGATGACCTCACGGTGGCCGAGCCGCTCAGCTCCGCAGCCACCCACTCCTCACTCATCTTCTTCCGAGCGCCCGTCGATCTCCTTCCCCGCGCTGCAATCGGCCGAGGTAGCTAGCCTATGTGAATCCCCTACCTCTCCTCTCCCTCCCCATGCTCTTGGATTTGGAAATTGTGGCCGAAATCGCTGTCTCACGAAGCTCGCCGAGCTATCCATGGCGGCTGAGCTGACGAACACGAGCACCTGCACCTCCCGTCCGTGTTCCCTCTCTGCCTCCATGTCTATTTCCTTGCTTCCTTAGACTAGTCAAGAGAGAGAGAGTAAATAAGGCGTACCGGTGTACCCAAATTGATGTTATTTTGGACTATTACTGTACAGGGGTATACAGGATAGATAATCTACCATAAATAATCAGGACAGCCAAACACTCAGCTTATTCAGACAGCAGATTCTCTATATCGTGGCTTATTAGATAAGCCTGCTCAGCTTATAAGCTAGACTCAGAAAAGCTGAAACAAACGGGGCCTAGAGTGGGCTTGAATCGCGGTCGCCGATGAGCTGGCGCGATGCACTGGCACGACGGTGAGCTGGCCCCTCGCGACAGGCGGCGAGGCGGGGATCTGGCGGCGGCTCCCAGCCCGTGGGTGCGGCTGACCGTGGGTCGCCGGCAAGCGGCGGCGCACAAGCCACTGGCGTGGGTCCCTGCCACCGACGAGCTGGCGAGGCAGCGGGCTCCAGATGCCACAGGGGCTCCCGGCGCGGCAGCGGGCTCCAGGTGCGGTGAGACCGGGCTCGCGACGACGGAGCCGCGTGCGTCCGAGGCTAGCCACGCACGCGCCGTGGAACCAGCCTCATCCTGCGTCGAGGAGCCGGCCGCGCCCGCGCTGGGTAGCAGCCGCGTAGGTGCCACCTCGCCTCGGCGCTGGTGGTCAAGGCCGCCTCGCCCTGACATGGCTTGGGGCCTGGCCCACCGCGTCGTCGCTGGACCGGTGCCACTGGCACCTCGCCCCACTACGCCCCGCCATGGCTGCCTCTTGCACTGCCCTAGCGTGCTGCAAGCCTGCAACTGCCACCTCTTGCTTCATGTGATCTTACGGCTGCAATTCTTGTAGTTCGGAGTAAAAAATCTATTCCTCTCTAATGTTCTGAGGATCATACAACATGATATATATCCATTATTAAGAACCTTGCTATTCCCTTTCCTTTGTGCGCTGTAATCTAATATAGTCAGAATGCTCCTAGCCCTTCTGCTTCTTAATTTGATTAGCAAATGCAAATAGGATTAGGAAACAAGATGAGATACGCTAGCTAATTTTCACTCGTTATATAAGTATATAGACTTTCTTGCTGCTGAATTTATCATGTTTTTTCGCTGGCTAGAAATTGTACAGTCAAATTATTTTCAAATTACAAATTCAAAGAGCTGTACAAGTATAGACAATCAAATTGTTTTTATGTACTATTAAACAAACTAATAGTTTACTGCATTTTAACATGCTATTATGTCTCCGATTACTATATTTCATCCTTCAAAAAATACCCACACTTCTACGTGTTGATTAGTTATACGTTTGTTTCCAGATAGCTTACGAGTCGTGACATATTTTTTAGTCTAAAATAGTTCCATATCTCTTTAGGTGCGAGCTACTATTGAAGTCAAGGCATCAAACATCATTCACTTACCTCTCATGGACGATCTACAAGATAAGAAATATATATGTGCATGCCTGTTTTTTCTGTTATTGAACTCAATACTGTTTAATTCCAATGATGTTGGAATCAAAGCTTACCATAGCTGTTGTCGTAGCTATGTATGCATACCTATTTGGTATTGGTAAGCTTACAATGGCTCCAATTTATATAATGACTATAAATTTTCATTGAGCTATGACATTTGGGGATATGCAGTGATGATTACCATCCATCTGTTTTTTTTTTCTGAACTAAGGTATATGGGAATATGCAACGATGATTATCACTCTTTTATGATCTTTCTATTATACTTTATTTTGAATTGAGGCATTTGGCACATGCAGTGTTGAGAACCATTAGATGTATATGGTCCCTTCTTCTATTCTGAATGAACCGAGGCCATTTGGCATATGCAATAATAACCATTGTAGTCCTGATGTTACTTTTATATGTAAGTTTCATTTAAAATAGCTATTAATTATGTTGGATATTAACAACATCACAATGGTTAACGTTGTAAACAACATACTCATAGACATGTTCATTCAATTTTTTTTAGCTATTTTAGCTCAGAATTATAAACTGTTGCTGCCTCAATTCAGTTTGAAGGAAGGAGTGAAGTGCTTATTCAGAAATAGACATGATCCTTACCATCAGTTAGGTGAAAATCGAAATGTTCTTTGATTTTGATGGTACTTCATTAGGGTAGCTTAGCTTCAGTGCTTAAAAAATTCATCTTTTATAGTGGTCGGTGTTCCTGTAGCCAATTTTATTTTTGCAAGATCGAAAAATGCATATTTCAGCAAAGCATCCAATTCGAAATAGAAAATATCAATTTAGGTTGTGCCATGACCTGAGCGGATCACTTATTAACGATTATCGATTCTATTTCACTACATAATCTGAAAATGGACAAAACCAAATGAATAAGTACTCCCTCCATTCCAAATTATAAGTCATTCAAATTTTCTTGGAGAGCTAAAGCGTCTCAAGTTTGATAAAAAAATTATATAGAAAATTAAACATCAAGCAATTTGGCTCCCGAACGATCAAGCAAGAACCGTTGGTCTCTTTGTTGCACGATCGACAATCCACCCTTTCAGTCGGCATTTGGCTCTCAAACGGTGACCTATCAATCGGAGATAAGGCCACTACCAATAAGTCATATGTTATATTTTCCATCTCGATACATGGCCACCGTCAATACTTCTCGCAGGTTCTCCACTGAAACAGCCCTAGCTGGCGCGGCAACGCCACACCCATGGGGCGTGTTCGGCTGGCTTGTTTTTCCTCTCACAGAATCACTGTTCACGTCCTGCCAGAACAGTATTTTTCTCTCACAACAATCAGCCGAAACAGTATTTTTCAGTCCTGCCGAACAGGCCCATGGTTTTCTAGTATCTATCTACTCTCTATCTGTGCTAGAGATGGTTCTCTCTACTCTTTCTTTCCCTCAGGCTACAGTAGTAGAGGATAACCCAAGGGTGATTCGGTTTTCAGCGTTGATTTCGGGTAGGTTTGGATCTCTAGAGCAACTCTAGCAGGCCCCTACTTGAGCCCCCATAGCTAAATATGGGGGCTCAGGCTAAAAATCCAACTCCAGCATGGTCCCTACTACGAACTCCAAATTTGTGTGGACACCCAAATCCTCCCACCAGACCCCATTCCCGTTGGCCCAACACCCAAGCTCTCATCCGACTGATTCCTTCCCGCATCGTACGGAACGTGAGCGCGGTCGTTTGCTGGCGAGCGCGGCCACCCACCTACCCCCCACCAGTGAGTGCCCCCTGCCCTATCTGTGTGTGGAGAGAGCACCTCCCCTCCCTGGTGCTCGGCCCCTTCTCCGGCATGGCGCAC